GCACTGAGTAGAGATGGGTGATGACTTTCCTGGATCTGCTGACCACATTCCTCCTATACGTAGCCCAGTGCACTGCTTACATTATTCATGATGCACTTGGTTAGTTCATATTCAATTCAGCAGCCACTGTAGCCTCCAGATCATTTTCAGCAGGCCTGAAAAATAGCAAGTTCCTTCCTTGCCTGTACTGGTGCATTAGGTTTTTTTCTCCCCAGGTGCAGAATTTTGCACTTATTGAAGCTTCTAAAACAGAAACCTCAAAAAGGATTCCTTTGCTTGGACTTCCAGTGTCTCATAGTGTTTCTGAATTGAAGTTCTACCAGTCAGCGCGGTAGCCACACCTCCTGATTTTGCATCATCTGAAAATCTACTCAGTGTACATTCTGTCTTCTCATACGGGCTGCTGATGAAGATACTGAGCAGCGTCTTCATAGGAGTCCGTTAGTTACTGTGCGCATTTCCAACCACCAACTGGATATCAAGCCATTGACTCTAGTTTTTGAGCTTGGCGTCTGACCAATTTTCAGCCCACCTACCATCCTTTCATTCAATCCATACTTTCTCATATTATAAATGGTTAATGCTTTTGGAAATAGGTGTCAAAAGTCTAAATAAAGTAAAAATATATTGCATTCACTCCTCTCCCTTCATCTGCATGACTAGTCATTTCATCATAGTGGGTAACCAGATTGGTCAAGCATGATTTGGTCTTGGTAAATCCTTGTTGACTTTTCTTGACTGTTGTCTCATCCTTTACATGTTGGAAATTGATTCCAAGAGGACATGCTCCACGATTTTTCCAAGGACTAAGGTGAGGCCAACCATCATATAGTTTCTTCAGTCCTCGTTCTCACTGCTTAATTAACCTTTCTCCAGCCATCAAGGATGTCCTGTAATTGCAGTGATTTTTCACGAATGATAGCTAGTGGTGTTGCAGTCACATCATCAGCTGTTTCAGCACCCATGTGACCCCATGTATTTGAACACATATGGCTTCTGCAGGTATTCACCAACCTGTTGCCCCCAAACTTTTAGCCATCCCTCTCCTTCCCAAACTGTACATGCAGGATTCTGGGAGCAGACTTTGCGTAAAAAGTGAGAGGCAAAAATGGTATTGGGTGCTGCAGCTTTTTCTGTATCTTCTATCATTATCTTATCTCCCTTAATAAGTAATAGACCTACATTTTTTTTGAACCTCCTTTTGCTGCTCTCATACTTGTAAAATTCCTTCTTGTTACCCTTTAATGTCACCCATTAATTTTAGCTCCACTTGGGTTTTGTCCTTCCTAGTTTCATTCCTGTGCCCTGTTGTGGTTTTACCCCAGCCGGCAGCTGAGCACCACGCAGCCGCTCGTTCACTCCCCCACCTCCGGATGGGGG